TGTATGTTTTAGATGGTTGTAAACTTATGATGAAAGTAGTTTATAAACATTGAAAATATGATGAATATCTTGTATGGTCGAGTAATGCATTATAAATTGTTTATGTGATATTTGGAAATAAATGACTGACATTATTGTTATGTGATGGGGATAATGAAAGATCCTAAGGTTGGAGGAGGTAGCGAAGGAACTTGCAAAGTTAACCAAAACCAACCTCGACACATACCAAGGTAAGGAGAATTTATTAATGGTATATGATAATAGAAAATGTGTGGATTTTATGATTACGTATATGATATGTGTATGACTTGCTCGATGTGGTATAGCGAATGACCTGTCCTAGGTGACATCATGTATGATTTTCCCTGTGTGGTATTGTGTATGACTTGCCCTATGTGGTATTGTGTATGACTTGCCCTATGTGGTATTGTGTATGACTTGCCCTATGTGGTATTGTGTATGACTTGCCCTATATGGTATTGTGTATGACTTGCCCTACGTGGTATTGTGTATGACTTTCCCTATGTGGTATTGTGTATGACTTGCCCTATGTGGTATTGTGTATGACTTGCCCTATGTGGTATTGTGTATAACTTGCCCTATGTGGTACTGTGTATGATTTGCCCTATGTGGTATTGTGTATGACTTGCCCTACGTGGCATTGTGTATGATTTGCCCTATGTGGTATTGTGTATGACTTGCCCTACGTGGTATTGTGTATGACTTGCCCTAAGTGGTAATGGAAAGGTAAACGTAAAGTGGAAAATAACGATTGGAAATGGTATTGATTGAAGGAGGTGACAAGGTATGGTAGAGATGAACGGGTAAATCCAAAGTGTTGGATGTGGTAACATGAGACGGACAAATATTATATGTCGATTTTATCTTTTAATGTCAAGTCTTCTATTAAAACTTTAAAAGTGTGGATTATCGTTTACTGATATGTATTGAATTGATAACTTACTCCTTTGTTGTTGTGTATATCTGTCATGATAATCTCATTGCAGGTAAACGAGGTAGTTGATGATACTCGGTTCGAGGCATGAGGAGCTTAGAACTCAGAATCCTTATTTTTCTTTTTGTTTGATGTAAACTGTTAATTGGATGATTATAAATCCTAACTAATTTAGAACTACATTTTTGTAATGCTGGATATTAATAGCTATGGACATTTTGGAATCTCATAGCTAGTCATATGCGGTACTTACCGATAAGGAAATATATGAATTATGTTTTTCTGCTTTATGGGAAAGGGTCTTAGCATATTACGATAACTGAATTTGAAGTATTCAATGTTGTTTAACTGAAGAGGAGTAGAGGTGATAAGAATATCCATATTAAAATGAGAAAAATTTTCAAGGGTAGAATTTGGGTCTTTACAGGACTGTTGAGAGGAAACACAGACACATTGTTGAAACTGGTTTAACTCTACTTACTCATGCTTGCTTACCTTTAAAATTTTGGGATCATGCCTTTCTTACAGCTGTTCATCTTATTAACAGACTACCCTCTCCTACATTAGGCCACAAATCTTCCCACACTCTTCTTTATAACACTGTTCTTGACTACCTTTGTTTAAGAATATTTGGTTGTTCCTGTTTTCCTAATCTTAGGCCCTTTAACAAACATAAGGTTGACTTCAGGTCCTCTGAATGCACTTTCATGGGTTATTCTTTGTCTCACAAAGGCTATAAGTGTCTCATTAGTGAAAGGAAGATAGTTATTTCCAAAGATGTTGTATTCAATGAATACAACTTTCCTAATGCTATATCCCTTTGGTCCTTTTCTTGTTATGCTTCTTTCACACCCTAGACACTCCCTCACTTGATCAAATCCTAGTATTCCATAATCCAAGTTTTGTTTCCACACACACCTCTGGTCATATCTCTCCCTTATCTTCTAGTCCCTCTGTCCATGTTTAAACTGAGTCTATGTCTACTCATCCTCAACATGTTAGAGGTTCTAGTGTCCCTATTATACATACTGAATCCAATGAGTTTGTGTTTGTTCCTCCTCAACCTCTTAGAGATTCTAGTGTCACTGTTGAAGTTTGTGTCCGTCCCTACCTCATCTCTGTAAGACTGAGATTGCAACTAAGAGGGGGGGTGAATTAGTTGTTGCAATAAGTATGGCCAATTTTTCTGCAATAAGTTAATGTGCAGCAGAAATATTGTGCAAAAAAATATTGACTTAGGAATGATAAATAAATAACAAAGAGAAGGGAAAGAGAGTACGCAGGTGTTTTATACTGGTTCACCTTCTTGTCCACCGAAGGCTACGTCCAGTACTCTTGACGCGCAAGAGATTCCTTTATTAAATATAATGAGCTGCAATTACAAATATTTCACCCCAAGATCTCCTTGTACCTTACACACTCACTTATATCTAATCCCCTTGGAAAACTCTATTCCAAGTAACACCCTTGGTAAACTCTATACCAAGTTACACCCTTGGTAAACACTATACCAAGTCACTCACCCTTTCTCTTCACACCCTTGTGAAAGAAATTAAACTTTGCAAAAGTGTAGAATGTACAATTTGGCTTGGATTGCCTTACAAGTGTATATGACAATTCTTATAACTTGCAATCCAATAACAACTCTTATACTTGAGATAATAATGCTCTTTAACAATATGGAAAACACTTAGAAGCAACTTCAAAATAACTTTGAAATTTTAAGAGTAGGTTGCTTGAAAAGTATAAGTAAAATCAGAAAGTGTGAGAGCTTTTTTTAAAAGAGAGTTTGAAATTTGAGTTGTATATGTTATTATTGTTGTGAGAGTGTTTTCATGCCTTTATATAGGCTTCCAATCAACCATAATACCCTTTGGCATGAGTAGGTTTCGTTTGGAATGAAAAGCAATCAGTTTGGAGTGAAACCCTTTCACTTGAAATCTGAAAAACTGATGCAACAACTCTCAGTAATCGATTACCCAACAATCCTGTTAACAGCTTTTTCAAAATTCACACAGTGTAATTGATTACTGGATTTGAGTAATCGATTACTCAACAACACTGTTTGACAGCTTTGTGAATTTGCCTTAGTGTAATCGATTACACTACTTTGAGTAATCGATTACCCTGTTTTCTAAAAATGGTAATCTGTTACTCCAAAGTCTGTAATGGATTACTCATAACTGTTAGAGGTTTGAAAACTCTTTTCTCACTCATGTAACTTGTTACTCAAATATGGTAACCAGTTACATGTTGTTTTTTAAAATTATTTTTAATCACACTTAGATTATTCTGATTTTCTTGAAAACAATTTTGAGCATTTTTATCTAAGTAAATAAATGAGTTGTAAGGATAGAAGTACCTAAAGACTTAGACTCTAAATCTTGAAGCTTTATCTTCGATAGTCTTTATCGGTTTTCTTCCTTTCTTCTTTTTGTGATATTGGTGTCTTCATCAAAACCGTGTCAAGATCATGAGCAAGATCTTCTTCACAATCTCATCCTATGCAAAGAAGATCTATTAAGTCAGGGATATTTAAAACCATTTACCCTAGAGCTTATCTAGCTCATGTTGAACCTACTTCAACCAAAGCAGCCTTAGCTGATCCAGTTTGGTCTTCAACTATGAAGGATGAATATGATACTCTTGTCAAGTCAGACATTTGGTCTCTAGTACCACTTCCACCTAATAAACAGGCCATTGGCTGCAAGTGGGTTTTTAGAGTTAAAGAAAACCCAGATGGGTCTCTTAATAGGTACAAGGCTAGGTTAGTTGTAAAAGGGTTTCATCTGAAGCTTGGTATTGATTATAATGAAACTTTTTCCCTTTAGTAAAACCCATTACTGTGAGGATTTTACTTACTTTGGCTCTAACTTTTAATTGGACTCTTCAACAACTAGATGTTAATATTGCCTTTCTCAATGGGCATCTCATTGAAGAAGTTTGTATGCAACAACCTGTAGGGTTTGAAGATAAGGATAAGTCTTTGGTTTGCAAACTCAACAGGTCATTGTATGGTCTCAAACAGGCCCCCAAACAGTGGTTTGAGAATTTAAAGGACACTCTTCTGAAACTTGATTTCAGTACTAGCAAATATGATAATTCTTTGTTCATTCATAAGGCCACCACCTTAGCAGTCTTAACTATTTTCTGGGAATTGAAGTCAAATACCTCAAGGACAAATCTATTTTACTCTCACAATATAAATATATTGGGGATCTCATTGAAAGGGCTAATATGTCTGGGGCCAACCTTGTAACTTGTTCTATGGTATCTAACTCCAAATTGACTAAAAATGGTTCTAACTATGTTGAAAACCCTTCTCTTTATAGATATATTGTAGGGGCCCTTCAATATGCCACCATCACTAGACCTGATATAGCCTACTCTGTGAATAAGGTCTGCCAGTTTTTACCTGCTCATCTTGAAGAGCATTGGACAGTTGTAAAAAGGATACTTAGATACCTAAATGACACTCAGTATCATGGTCTGCACTTGCATCCAGCTCTTTCATCATCTCATTGGTTCTTAGGGGCTTTTGTGATGTTGATTTGACATATGATTGTGATGATAAGAAGTCTAGTTTAGGGTCTTGCATTTTTGTGGGACTTAATTTGGTCACTCGGTGGTCCAAGAAACAGCAAACCATATCCAGACCCAACATTGAGGCTGAATATAGAAGTTTGGCTTTGCTTACTGTGAATACCACTTTTTTACAAGCCCATAAAAGAAAGCCAACATTAATTTACTTAAATTTTTTTACTTTATTTAAGCTTTGTATTTATTTATTTAGTTCAAAAATTCTTAATCAAATAAAAAAGATGATAACAAAAAGAATAACAAGAAATAGAAAAGTATGAGAAAAATCTGCATCAAGAGAAGTGATGCCATTTTCTTAGGAGTGAAATTTGGTAACCAGATTTTGATAATGGAGTGTTTCCCCTATTTTGGTGGGAAGTTGGATGGCAAGCATACCCCTATTAATGGTAAGTTACTACTCACACAAAAGATAGACATTACATATTGAACCCATAAAACAAAAAAATACCCAAAAGCAATATAACAGGGAGAAAGTACATACTGGAAAAAGGAAAAAGGCAGATTAAGAAGGAAACAAAGCAGTGGCTAAAAGGAAAGAATACATAAGTTCAGCAGTAAACTAAGCTCCAGGTTAGTAGATAATATCATATGCTTGAAAATTATATGTTGCTTAGGTCACTGTCATGATTGATATACATATAGTAAACAATTACATTCATATCATAATTCATGCTATTTTCTTTGGAGTAAATAATGTCATATGCTTGAAAATCCAATTGCATTTCATTCACTGCAGATACAGCAAAAGGCAATAATGTGCTATTCATCTTATTCACTACCACAACAAAAAGCAAAAGAAAAATGTAAAAAAATAAGTAAAAATATGACATTCATCTTATATGATTTCCATCTTTATTGTTGAATCTTTTTGCAAAGCATGTTAATAAAATAGCATCAACATCACTCTAAATTTTGAAACAAAAGCCACCGATGTTCTAAAAATGTACAAAAATAAGCAAACAAAAAAAACACAAAAAAGAGTTCCCTCCCCCTCACTGCCGCTTCCCTCCGTCAAATAACATCACGTGCTTCCGCACATCCTCGGCCTCGTCGCCGCTGCCGGCAGCCATCGCGCCATCCACGGTGGCGTCTCATCCCTTTCTCTTCCACCCACAAACGTGTCCAGGGGAGGACGCGAGCCCATCAGTTCGTGAAGCAGCCGTCCAGCCTTCCAGGCGCCACCGGTGGCCTCCAGGCCGCTGCCATGGCAGCCGCAGCCCCCATGGGGTTTGCTCCTTCTTGTTTCTTAATATTGCATTAGGGTTTCTTACCCTCTTTAATTTTCAGCTTCCTATTTACTCAAGTTAGATAGATAATGGGCCTGCCCATCCTATGTTTTTTTTATCATTTGTTTTTATACATAATGGACAAACAGTTATGATATTAACACTTATACAAATTGATTCATGCATATGTTCACTTATTTGTCTAAATAAAGTTAACGTTTTATTGAAACTCTACCAAAAAAGAAAACCTTTTAATTATAATTGAGATCAAATCTTTAAGTTCAAACTTCGAGCCAAGAACCAGTCGCGGTCATTTGTACTGCTTCTGCTATTTATTGAATTAATAAGATAATTGATAACCAATGTCAACTTTTCATTCTCTTTAAAATATTGAAGTTATTTTAAAATAATAATGTTTTTTGGGATTCAATAGCGAGGTTACAACTCGTATTGCATCTTTATTCTCACTTTGAGCCGAGAACCGGTTGCGGTCACTGGTACATTTTGTTTTTATTCAATTTAATTTCAATAAAATAAGGGTAAATTAATTAGTTAGAGTATCCAATTTGGGTTAGAGTATCCAATTTTCCCGAACTCATAACTCTAACATAAAGAACAATTTTATCCAATTTGGGCATAATTCGAGTTTTCCACGTTTTAACCGCAAAAGACTTGGTGGCGACTCCTCAAGAGGTCGCGTGGCCGAAAATCCAAGCGCGACACTTACTCAAGAATTCATGTGGGTGCAAGCTCTTCTTATTGAATTGCACTTTTCTTACACTGCACCCCTACTTCTATGTGACAATCTCATTTCAGTGGCAATAGCTCATAATTCTTTTCTCCATCAAAAAACAAAACACATTGAACTTGATTTGTTCTTTGTTAGAGAAAAGATTCAAAACAAGTCCATTCAAGTTAAGCACATTCCAACTAATTTTCAAACTGTAGATGTTCTAACTAAGCATCTATCTCCTACTAGATTCATCACTCTGAGAAGGCAACTTCAAGTTTGCAACACAGATCTACTAGGGGTGGCAAAATTATTCACAATTTATAATTTATCCAAGTTAAATCCATCCAAATTCATCCATTAGAGCTAATGGATGAATTCAAATTCATCAATTATATCCAATGGATATATCCATTTGGATGGATGCTCAATCCATCCAAAATAATAAAAAATAAAAACTTTTTCTTTTTCTCAAAACACACGTGCAAATTCCTTTTTAACAAAAAGATTCCTTCAAAAGTTGCATTACCATTTCTTCATATGTGGAGATTTATTTTTCCAATATCTTCATTCCTTTTACTTAGACTTCACATAATTGTATTGAGCGTTTAACATTTCTTACCAATTTCATTTCTCTTGTATTCCTTTCAATTAGATATTTAAACTATTTATCAATCGTGTAATTTAACTTTGGTAAATATAATTTGTGTTTGTAACCAACCAAAAAAACATGAAGAATCAGAGTAATAGCAAAACGAATCTATGAACTTCATGATAAACGTCAAATTTTTCTAACAACACTAACCTAGACCTCAATTGAAGGTTTTAAGACTATAAATTTAAGCTTAACCACGTGATTTACCATTAAAAACTTAAAAGTTAATTTTTAAGTTTATTACTCTTTTAAGTTTTTGGATGAAAACTTCAAAAATTCACTATTTTAGAACTGTTAAGCACTTTTTAAAAATGTGAAGTCACAAATTGAATATTCATTCATCCAAATCCATAAAAATGGAGTCATGGATTGATTGGATGGATTATAATCCATTGGATATGGATGAATTGAATAACTTAAAATATGTTTTAAATAAATTTATATGAATTGATAAATATCTTTTCATCCATCCATTTTTATCCAAATCCAAACTCATCCATTTGTCACCCTTAAGATCCACCTTTGGCTTCAGAGGGATTGTATTAGAGAATATTGTTTGTTTAGAATAAATAGTGGACTAGTGAGTTAGATCTAGGCTGATTTTAGACTTGTATTTTCTGTTTCATTCTCTAACAAACTAGTCACGTGTTCAACTCTATAAATAGAGTTTCTCTTTCTTGTAATAACTCAAGTTTTTCATATTAACAAATTTTGTAACCGCCACAATTGAAGCAGATACATTTTCTCTCACTTTCTCTGCTCTCTCTTCATTTCTCACTCACGTTTACATGTTCAAAACCGATGACCTTGATTCTGTTATGTAATTTCTTGGACTAGAAATTGCTCGTTATGTTAAAGGCATTATTACCCTCTACAAAAGGAGGTACACAATAGACTTGTTATTAGACACAAGCTACATTACTTCGTTATATTAAAGGAATCTTGGTCAAAGATTATTTTTTGCAAATTAAAAGCTTTAATGACATTAGATGCTTTAGCTATTCCATATTTGCATGTTCATAATATGATAGAAGACTAGATATAGTCGTCCATAAATAAACAATTTGCACTTTAAAATCACCTTCTTTTTTAATTGTTCAACACTGTTGTAATTACAAAAAACTCCTCTACAGTTTCATTTTGATTTCCGTAAACTTCAAGTATTTGTTCCTACTATTATAAATTTACTAGCGTGCTAGTCAATTCGTTTTTTTATTGTTTGTAATGTGTATTCTACATGCAATAAATATCTAATATAGTAAATTGTGTTAGATATTATGATTTGCAATTGAATATATTCGATTGAGTTAATTGTTCAATGTTAATAATGGATGATGTCTTGCGCTCCAATTCTTTACTACTTAACAATGAACAATTACCTCAATGTTGTGATAAATTGAACCCTAAGCACAAAATGTATAGATATCAAGTTCAGTGTGGCTAAGTTGTTATCAAGATGAACATGTTCTATGTTGATATGTTGATTCAGTTAATTTTGTGTTATATGTTCTATTTTATATTGAAGAACAAAATATTGAGTTGATGGATTAAATATTTCACCTTAATTTTCTTTTCCTATTTCTAATAAAATGTATATTGACTTAGCTTGATGAATCAAATATTTGACTATATAATTCTCCTTTCCTATTTCTAATAAAATATATATTTATGCATTAATTATATTTTATCTTCTCATTGAAAACAAAAAACCAATAAACCTAAACTATGAACCTTATATCAAATCTTTCTTGTTCAATGAATTTGGGGTATTGTTGCATTCCATCACCTTGTTAAAAAAAGAACAGGAAAAAATGATATGATGGTTTTATGTGGAAATAATCATCTATAAAACTATTAGTAAGTTAATTGTAAGTAATTTGTATACTTTTATTACATTTTTTCATAACATGTTCTCTTCATGATTACTCATATTCCAAATAAGTTATGTACAAAAAAATATACTAAAAATGTCAAATTATCAATTATTTTTGCATATTTATATTGTATACTTCTTTCATATTCATCTTGCATAAATAACATAGTGTACATACATAATTACATAAGAATTTATGGAAGTTTATTAATGTAAATATGGAAGTTGATAGAAATTTATTAATGATATGCTCAAAGTTTATATATAAACATTAAATTCTAAATTATGAAAGGTAAAATAGGTACACAAATTACACCATAAATAGTTAATTTGTGTTTATTATTTATTAAGTAGTATAGATATAGATAAAGATTAAACGTGAAAGTATTATAGCTAGAACTTGGAAAATACAGCTTTTCGTTATAGTGCTTTTCCAGTTATATTTTCATCTGTTTTGTAGTTTTTACTTTTTACTTTATAGGACCCTCCTAACAAAAAAAAGAGAGACCATTTTTAGGAGTTTCCTTTCGAAAAAACTTTTTTTATATATTCAAATTTCTTAATCTTTAAATTATTATTATGGACTAACATGGAAATTTTAAAAAGTTTGTAATTACAAATTAACTTTTACTTAAATTATTTTTCTGTGCATTATAAATTAATAAGAACTAGGATTTATCTTTTTTGAAATTCGGCATTGCAGATGGGCTGAATGTACTATAAATATCACTGGCTGTTTTTATATCCAACATTTTTTAATTTGATAAAAAAAAGACTTAAGAAAATTTCCCATTGATAAATAAAAAAGATAATTTAAATAAAATATCATTAATAGTATTTGAATTAAATTTATAAAATCTTAATATAATATAGACTATATAGTGTTATTTTTATAAATATAACATTATCCTTACTTGAATTTAGTTTTAATATATATTTTCTTATGCTTTTTTATAGCATATCACTATATCTTCAATTCTATTTTATTTTAATCTTATTTTTTTTAGAATGGATTGATTTAAATAATATCATGCATGGTCTTTATTAGACAAAGTTTTTAAATGAATAACATATATCAATGAGAGTGTTTAATTTTCTTTATTTTCGAAAAGATTTTGTAAAATGTCCTGTTCTTTCTCCTGACAAAATCCTGGGTTTTTATTTCTTATTAATAAACACTCAAGAAAGTAAAGACAACGAAAATCTTTAATAAGAATAAATAAAAGGAAGAAGCAAATATTTCATAAAAAGTACAAATTGTCTTATCCATACTTCCATACTACTAATAAAGTCAAAACACAAATTAACCACCTATCATGGTGTAATTTGTGGTTGCTCATTTTGCCCTTTCTATTTTATAAATTTTACAAAAAAATCATATAACTCATCTCCTCATTTTATGTTTCACTATTGTTTTGCTTGCGGTTACTCCTAATATAATTGCTAAAAAAAAATTTAATATTTATATGGTTATTATGCAACCATTTTCATTTCAAGAGAACATGAATTACATCATTATATAAATCATTTATATTTACATTATATATACTTCTAACTTCAACATAAACTCTAAGGTGAAAATTATTGCATATAAACTATACTTTTTTGATCAACTATTGTATATAAATTATAAATTACAAACCATAGGAAAACGGGTTGATAGACACGATGCTACTATATATACTCAGCATAACTTTCTAAATAATATTGTATAATAAGTAAAACATTATTTTTAAGATTTGTTTAGGATGAAAAGATTAGATAAACTCAATTATCGACAATATCATAAAGTTGACCCAAAAAAAAAAAACAAAGTGATCTAAAATATAAGATAACAATGAATAATGATTATATGTATCTAT